TGAACCCAAAGCCCCCCCCCCCCCTGTCGCCATCAAGCCAAAGCCGCCACCGCCCCTGTCACCGTGAAGCCAAAGGCGCCACCACCCCTGTCACCATGAAGCCAAAGCCACCACCACCCCTGTCGCCATCAAGCCAAAGCCGCCGCCGCCAGCACTGCCATCTTCTTTCCCTCCATCCTCCTCCTCTTTCTCCTTCCTCCTCCTCCTCCCTGCTGCCTTCCCTCCCCGCATGGAGGTGTCTCAGGGGAACTGAGGCCAGTCCAGCCATGAGTGCAGAGCTTCACAGAGAGAATGAGCCACCTGGAGACCACGGCCACGTCCAGCCAAGGAGGCCTGAGCCTAGTCGGAGATGGAGACGTGGGTAGCGCTGAGCAAAGGTCCAGCCAGCCGTGAGATGAGGAGGAGACGGCCCCGCCCAGCCGTGTTCACGCCCAGCCAAGAGGGGCGGACGGTCCAAGAGAGTCCTGTGTGTGATGCGTAGAGCGACACTTCCAATGAAGCTCAGGTATCCAGAATGAGGGACCCCGAGGTGTCTTGGAATGAGACCCCAGCTCCAGCCTCCAGTGAACCTCGATGGCCACGATGAGCGGCCGTCTCAATGTACCAGAACTGAGTCCTCAACTCTAGACTCTAATGAATCTCCGATGTCCACATTGGGGTCCTGTCGATGGCCTAGAACTGAGACCTCAGCTCCAGCCTCTGATGAAGCTCAGATGTCCACAGTGGGATCCCCTCGATGGCCCAGAACTGAGACCCCAGCTCCAGCCACTGATGAAGCTCAGATGTCCATGATGAAGGGTCCCCTTGATGTCTAAGAACTGAGACTCCGGCTCCAGACTCTGATGAAGCTCAGATGTCCACATTGGGGCCCCCTTGATGTCCGAGAATTGAGACCCCAGCTCCAGCCACTGATGAAGCTCAGATGTCCATGATGAAGGGTCCCCTTGATGTCTAAGAACTGAGACTCCAGCTCCAGCCTCCAATGAAGCTCAGATGCCCACAGTGAGGTCCCTTTGCTATCTGAGAACTGAAACCCTAGCTCCAGCCTCCGATGAAGCTCAGAAGTCAACGGCTGGGGTCCCCTTGATGTCCCAGAATGGAGAGCTCAGCTCCAGCTTCTGATGAGGCTCAGAGGTCCATGATTGGGGTCCCCTTGATGGCCCAGAACTGAGACCCCAGCTCCAGCCTCCAATGAAGCTCAGATGTCCACATTGGGGTCCCTTGATGGCCCAGAACTGAGAACCCAGCTCTAGCCTTCGATGGAGCTCAGATGTCCACATTGGGGTCCCCCTGATGTCTGAGAACTGAGACCCCAGCTCCAGCCTTCGATGAAGCTCAGATGTCCACATTGGGGTCCCTTGATGGCCCAGAACTGAGACCCCAACGCCAGACTCTGATGAAGCTCAGATGTCCATGACAAGGGGACCCCTTGGTGTTTAGAGCTGAGATCCTAGCTTCAGCCTCTAATGAAGCTCAGACATGCAGAACTGGTGAGAAAGCCTCAAGGTCATGGATTTGCTGGACAGGACTGGATGTGGCTGAGTTTTGACTCGAAACTGTAAATGATAGAGGGGACCCCATTCTCCACCCATGGCCTGCAGCACTCTCCGTCAGCAGCGTCGGAGGCAGCATTTGAACTCTGCGGGAAGCTGGGCTCCAGGTGCATAATGAGAGATGCAGCAAGAAGGTGTTGGGAAGAGTATGGCTCCAGAAATCTTGGATCGTGGGTGGACACTGCCCACAGATCCTGCCCACGAGTGTGTATCTCTGTAGCAAAGCGCTGTCTTATGCCTTTTAGCTGAGCTGGACTCATGGCTGGCCTCACACCAGCCTTGACCCGTGGGGCTGCCAAGTTGGCTGGACCCTGGAATGTAACCCAAGCTTGTTTCTGCGGCTTAGCTCCTCTCCCAGGGGAAGGTGCCAGCCCGGCACGAAGCCGCAGCCTCAGGGCTGCTCAGATCTGGTTGCCGCTTTCCAGCAACGGAAGTTCAGTTAAGGTTGGCACTGGGACATGGCTGGGCCATCGTGAGGAGTGTGGACATGGAGCGGACATCCAGGGAGGTCCCTCAAATACGTGGGCACAAGATGGCAGCTTTCCAGATGGGGCTGCATTTTAGGCTGGGACCCTGCCCCGCAGACCTTGACCACGGCTGTGGTCCTTCAGGGGTGTGGTCGACATCAGACTGTTCACGAAGCTGGAGAGAGATGGCAGTGAAAAGAACAGGGCCCCAAACATCGGCTTGCTCAGAAACCACAAGGACGTCATGAGCAGACAGAGGCGAGGAGGTGAAAGGTGTCGCCTTTGGGAGGCGTGCTGGGCGTTAGTCTGGATGCGATGACTCTAGACTCGGCGGTTCTGAGGATCCAGTATCGTCGGTTATGCCCTTCAGATGCAGCTACAGCAACACGTCCCAGAAACGGACCTTCTTATGCCGTTGGAGTCTGCAGGCAAACGGAGCGGCTAGCAAAGGTTCTTGAGAAAACACATCTGAACGATGCCAACTTCATTTCGGTGATATTTCCTGGAAATTCATTAGAATTTCGAACTATGCACATGAAAACTTCTTTTATGAGTAATCGGAACTCGAGACCATGGATGGAATGAAGGAGGAACATCTCAGAGGACTGCACCCCCTTTTTTCGACCAGGTTGTTTTCAGGAGCGTTCCAAGAACAAACGATTATTAGAATCGCTCATTACCGATTTCCTAGATGTCTGTGCAACACATTCTGAAGCCAAATGCAAAACGGATGAGCCAGGCTGGTAACGTCTGTGGAGGACATGGGCATTCTGCCGTCAGCTTCAGGGACATAGGCTCAAAGTGGAACGGTGGTGGCAGTCGAGGTGGAACTTCTCAGTCACCAAGCAGAGCCCCCTCAAGTACATTAGGTCAGAGGTCATCACACGGCCCCCCAGGAAGGCCGCTGCGCTCGGCTGTTGCTGGAGTGGGCTCGGCATTGTGCCGAGACGCTGGGGTGGATGAACTTGATCCCCTCCGAGTCGGGGAGACCAGATTTCAGGTGGTGCTGCTGTCAACTCAGCATGGGACACTTCGTGGCCTCCCAGTCAGCAGATCCATTTTACAGATGAGGACACTGAGGCTGAGCGAAAGCCTGGTTCCCGATGGCCGTTAAGACCAAGCCTCTCTGTGGAGGCCACGGAACCAGCCTGGCTGCCTCTGACTTTGCCGAGATCCAGGAAGAGCCCGAGAGCTGAGCGAATCGTCTGCCGTCGCCGGTCAAGGGAGCAGAAGCAGGAAGGCCTGGC